AATTGTAAAGCTTCCTAGGTCTCGCAGGCTGTTTTAGAAAATTTGTACCTGGTTATTCGAAAATAGCCAAACCATTGAGTGATATGCTTCGCAATTGGGTGTAGAATTTGAATTTGGGCCAAGACAGAAGCAGGCATTGACCACCTTAAAGAACTTTTGAGCAAAAGTCCTGTACTTAACATTTTCAGCAGGGAAAACCTTTGGAATTACACACGGATGCTAGTAGTCATGGTTTCGGTGCAGTTTTGCTTCAACGCTCAGATGATGGACAGCTGCATCCAATCCATTACATGAGCAAGAAAACATCACCTCAACAAGAAAAAATGTCAAGTTATGAACTCGAAGTGCTAGCGATCGTCGAAGCCATTGAAAAAATTTTCGAAGTTACCTCTTAGGCACAAGAAATCAAAATAGTCACAGACTGCGATGCATTTCAGAAAGACAATGCAGAAAAAAGATCTGACACCAAAGATAGCTAAGATGGGCACTGCTACTCGAAGGAGTTCGAATATGAAGTTATCCACAGATCCAATCAACAGATGAGACATATCGACGCATTAAGTAGGCATGCCTGTGTGCATGGTCACTCGTTCGCAAAGTTACTCGTTTGCAAAGTTCGAAATCACTACTAAGATCGCAACAGCGCAACAGGATGATGATCTTAGGATCCAACAGGATGGAGAGTTATTGAAAACTCTGGTTCGAGAAAGGACTTAGAGATGACTATCTGCTAAAAGATAATGTGTTGTATCTGCAGGAGAGAGGTCGAGAACTCATCGTTGTGCCGGAAGCGAATGGAATTCGAGATTCATTCCGTGGCATACATAACAAGAGGACACTTTGCTGTGCAGAAGACAGAAGATCTGTTGAAAAGAGATTTTCATATTTCGAATGCTACCAAGAAAATAGAACACGTTATAATAAACTGTGTCGAAGTGCATCCTCTGTAATAAAAAGCGAGGCAAAGCAGAAGGTCTATTTGAACCCAATCCCAAAGGACTATATTCCGTTAAGCACATATCACATAGATTTTGTATGATCGCCTGCCTTCTACAGATAAGAGATACCGACATATACTTTACAGTGGTAGATGCTTTTTACAAAATTTGTCTGGTTTTACCCAGTCAAGACAACATCAACGGCAGAAGCTGTACATAAACTAAAAATCCAACAAGGTGTCTTCGGAAATCCTTCAAGAATTATCTCTGACAAGGGATCTGCTTTCACTTCAAAGGACTTTGAGTAATACTGTAAAGATGAAGGGATTCAGCACATACAAATCACAACAGGCGTTCCAAGACCCAACAGCATCAACAACAGGCCAGATCGAAAGAATTCATGGAACCCTTATCCCAGTGCTTGCAAAACTGTCAGTAGATGATCCTGCCAAATGGTTCAAATTTGTGCCTAACGTCCAAAGAATCATCAACAGCACCGTCAGTAGATCAACGAAATTCACTCGTTTCGAGCTGATGACAGGCGTGAAAATGAGAAATAAGGCAGACCAAAGAATTAAAGAAATTCTCGATAAAGAATTCCTGAACTCCATCATCCAGGAGAAAGAGTCTATTCGTGAAGAGGCTAAAGCGAATATCTTAAAAACTGCAGAAGGAGAACCGAAGACAATACAATCGACCTCGTAGAACCGCTCCACTCTACAAAACCCAGTTAGGAGTTCCTAAAAGAACCCAGTTAGAGGCGGTCTCAAGCTAAGACCTAAATTCTTAGGACCTTATAAAGTGATCAAGATTAAGCCACATGATCGATACGATGTAGCCAAAGTAGGATCTCATGAAGGAACTGAAGCAGCTTCCACTTCGGCAGACCACATGAAGCTTTGGTCTGATGACATCGCAACTTGAGATCATTTTGCAAACTATTTTTCAAATGTTTCTTTCTTTCTTTTTCTTTTTCTTTTTTTTTTTTTGTGTTTTGTGTTTTACAGATGTATTCCAGTGTTCGGAGGTCCTCACCTGTCGATGGCCGAGCATGTGAGAATCGTGCCTCAACGAAGCACCAGATGTCGCTATCTATCTTTACTCTGTAGGAACTCTCCAGGTAAACACATCTTCACTTGGTTCGAGAAGTCCGACAGAAGCGGTCTAACAGAACGCTCGCGAAGGAGCTACAACTAGACGCTTACTGGTCGCGCGTAGGCGATCGGACTTGTAACTTATGTAAAGTGACTGCACGTAGGTGGTCAGCTGTGACTTTTACATTTCCATACTGGAAACAGTGTTGTGATTACTCTCCTAAACATATTTAATTCATTTGTACATACTCATTCCTTTTATCTTTCCTTCTATGAACCAGGAATAAAAACCTGATACTTTGAATCGTGAGTGTGATCTCTGTTTGATAATAAGACGTCACCCTCCCGCATATATATATAGTTCATTTCTCAGATATTAACAATACCAGTTTGTGTATTGGTCTAATTAGTTCACTAAACTTGTAAATCCTTAATTTTATCAAATATTAATAATATCAAGAAACAGGAAAAATATGCAGTGCCCTATTCGGGATTCGAACTCCGGATCTTTCAGTTACCAGCCAGACGTACTTCCCAGTTACATCATGAAGGCACGCCTTAAGGAGAGAGAAAAACGAAAAACTTTACAGTCTCCCCCTCTTGAAGGGTGACTGGGTAGGATGGGACCCAGTCACGAAAAAGAATCTACCATCCACCGCTGGCGGCATTCACTGAACCATTGATAGTAATATTATGACTAACTTGACAATGTCATCTATACAATAATTGTTACATAATAATCCCTATGAAAAATAAATATACAATCAATTAATCATTACATTGTCATGGATAGGATCTATGTTGTGGAGAGTGCAACTTATATATTAATCAGTTTTTAAACCTGTGTCATCTTCAATACGTCATAACTTCATATTCTTATCAGTTACATACCTAATAATGTGTGTTCGTATTATTGTTGCACTTATCCACAGAGTAGGCCAGGCACATCAGTTCAGGCAGTTGATAGTTCCATAACCCAAAGTATATGATGTTATGTAGACTATTCTATGTTCATATAAACTGGATTCACTAGAGACTAAGTGACTAAAGTCGTATTTGGATGTTTGCAATCCAGTTTTGAAATTTTGTCACAAAGCAAGATAGCCACACATCAGGTTTCAGGGTCACTTTGTTTCAATAACATATGATGTGATCGCGCAAGTCACAGTCAGTAAGTAGGTTTCCCTCATTAAGTGTGTATTCGAGTCAATTTTTTTAAAACATCCTCCACAAAAGCATGCCTCCCTTTAAACAGGTAACCCTCAAGTGTTTTGCGATAACCAAATAAAACCTAAAAAGAATTCCAAGGAGTACCCAAATTATTAACTAATTCTAAACAATAGTAAACATGCCCTAAATTTGAGGATGAAGGATATTTTAATACATGTTACATATTTATTCATGCATTTTTATAATACATAATTTTATCAATGCATATATTCTTGTAGAGACATTAGGTATTTTGGAAGCAAGAGAGATGAATAATTAGCAACGACTTCGCCGGGAATCGAACCACTCTCAATTACGCGCTGAGCGTGCAGACAACCACACCAAGAAGGCGGGACAAATACCTTATATTCTAATGAAGTAAGTAATGGAAACTGATATAATATCTGAAATGAGAGAAAGAACTTACAATGAATACATAGTAATATGTAATGAATTCATTAATATGTATAGTATTCATTGGCAAGTTAAGTTCTTCATCTTTATTTTCATTTGGAAACGTTTTAAATTCAAAAAAGGCATTTGGTGGCATTCAAGTCAAAGACATCCATTGAAAGAAAATTATATTTCTGTCAAAGAACTCTTGATAATTCACCTATCCAGTATTAAACAAATATTACAGTACGATTTGGAATACACAATATCTTTTATTCGGAGACTTAGTAATATTTCACAACTATATAATGAATTCATTAAGATGTAATGTATTCATTCACAAGTTAAATAATATATTCATCTTTACTTACATTTGGAAATGTTTTAAATGCAAAAAATGCATTTGGTGGTGTTCAAGTCAAAGATATCCATTGAAGGCAAAATATATTTCTGCCAAAGAACTCTTCATAATTCCCCTATCCAGTATTAAATCCATACAACAGTACGATTTGGAATGCACAATATTTTTCATTCGGAGATTCTTTTTTTAAATTATAATGGCGCAAAGTAGTAGAGTACCATTTGTAAAGACTTTGTAGAAATTTAAGACTAAATTCATTTATATGCAGTGTAATGTTGTCGTGGAATCGTCTTTTCAAGAGCTTGATCAGATAAACATATATAATTTCTATAGTTCGGTAATAATTCTACACGATTTGGAACATATAAAAATAAATATTTGTCCTTTTAAATAAAAGGTTTAATAAAATTATTGTTAACTGATATTAACACCACTGCTTTTGAAAGAGCAATATACACAGTTTACACATTTCGAGTTTCTCTCACGTTACCAACAGCTCGAATTAACAACATGAAGAATTAGGAAAATTTTGATGAAATCCCTACAGGAAATCCTTTTCTCTTCTCTCGCTCTAAAATCATAAAATGAGGAACTGTAAAAACTTTTTTCACTGTTTTTTGCATCTCGAAGCCGCAACATTCAGCAATTGTTAACTTGACAGGTGACTCATGGTCCACACGAATATCGCGTGCTTTGTGACATTGTTTTAGAAATTACTGATTATTCAATGATTGCTATGCTTGTTTATTAACATAAGTAGGGTAGTGAAGTTCTGTTTTTTATTCTTATGACGTTGGGCTGATTGTTATCAAATAATACTTTGATTTCTCCATTGTTATCGGTATCTGAAATTCGTCTGCCAAACTCTACTGGAATTTACGTTTTATCTTATCTAATGTATGTGACTTTTTACAATGGTACTGATAAGTAATACTTATGATTTATAAATTCAAGTTTTTTAAATACTAGAAGTTTATATGTATTTTAGATAAAAAAAACTGTGGCAGAAAAATGTCTATGCAGAAATGCAGAAATCTTTTCGTTATTTAATTAAATTTGCTGATATTTTAGTAACACTCATTTGAAAGAATATGGTTACGTTACCTGTATGCAATGTTTTTCTTTTGTTCTCCCACAAAGTGAGATAAAGCGCAATTATTAGCCAGACGATAAGATTTATGTGACAGTTATCAAGCGTTAAAATAATATTGTATAGCCTCCCTTTGATCTCAAGTTTTCATTCGTAAAACATTAACATCACTTTGCTCAAAGCGATAAATTTTAGTATATACAATATCTCAATCAAAAACTATGGAATGCTTCAGAAAAGTTTTGTTTTTACTTGTATTTATTCTTAATACATTCCAGACTTTCAGCAAAACTGTTTCAAAAGCTGAAAATCGGGGAGACAGTGATACGAATTATGATCTTGTAGGAAATTTAAAGAAAGTTTCAGACGTAATGCAGAAGTCTGCAGACATAAAAGCAAAAGCTGGCCACGAATTAAGTTTTGCCGACTTAAATATACTTAATCTAGTTCATAATGATGCAATAAATTTTATAATACATAATTATACTTCATTTGGAAGTTCTTCAAGTTCATGTTATCGTGATGTATTGTATACTTTACAAAATCTTGGCAATATGAAAGAGCAATGGGCTATGCATAGTAAGTACTTGTTTTATTTTATATTTTTTTATTAATTAGAAGTAGAAAATTTAAGTGATACATAAGTTTTATGAGTATTTATGTGTGGTATAATTTTTTTAAATGCGTTTCAAATTTCTTAGTGCAAGGTCATTAGGTATTGTCTAAATATAATGTATCTTATTGGAAATCTTAATTTAATATACTCATATGTATTAGAATGAAGGCCACTGTTATAAAATCTTTTGAAAAAAAAAAACCGCTTTCAAGAGGATGAAATGAAGTATTTTTTCATGTGAATGAAATGGCATGTTTGTGTACCTATATGTAAATGTAGACGAATATGCATCTATGTGTAAATATTATGTAACCTTGTAGAGACATTAGGATTTTTTGGAAGCAGGAGAAGTGAAAAATGAGCAATGCCCTTGCCGGGAATCGAACCATTGATCTCTCGAATAGGCGCCAAGCGTGCGGACCACGAAGGCATACTAAGAAGGTGGGAGAAATACCTTATAACGTTTTAAATGCAAGTATAGGTACTCAGATTTAGTCTACCGAAAAATTCTGTCCGTTTGGGAAGCGAAAAAAAAGTAATACATTTTTAATATTGTTAATAATATTTATTGTACAATATAATTTTAGGGCTTGCAGCAAGAAGGGCCCAGATCCACTTAAGCAGATTTTGTGTTCATGGGTCTTTTTTACAGCAAAAAATCGTTCTTCGCATTGGAGTAAAAAGCCACTGGAGTAGCCTTTTATTTACTAGCACTTTTAATGAGAACAAACGTTTACAATATAAGTTAAAACGTGAATTTTTGATTTTTTTTTTTTTCTTTTTTTTTTTTTTTTTTTTCTGAGTTTTCCGAAAATTTAAGAATATGGAGCTGAGCCCTTCTTGAGGCATGCCCTTCAACTTTTATCGTTACTTATGACCTCTTACCAGCATGAATTTGTAAATATCATTTTTGAAAAATGTTTTGTTCTTAGAGGTGAAGAATTCAAGTAGTGCTTGGCTGATATCTACTTCATTTTTTAATTTTTTTCTCTTCGAAAATTTTTGCAAGGATCTCTCATTTACAAGTGTTACTAGGGGAAAGTTAGTTCTGAGGAGTATGGTGGATATGTCATAATTTCTTACCCTTGGTCTATAATTTGATAAGTTGCCAAAGCAACATATGATCTGGCATTATCATGATGTAATATGGTGTAATTTCTAATGAACATCTAAGTCCTCTTTTCTTTTACTGCTTTGTTTAAATCGTTCATTTCCTGAAAGTATCTTTCCGAAATCAGCTTTTCGTTAGGTTTCAGAAGCTCGTAATGTATATTGTTCTTGGACGTCTTATCATATAATAATTCTGTCATTCAGGCTCAAGTAAGCTTTAGAAGTGGAGATGACAGATTGTCCGGACTCACAATATGATGCTTTCCTAACGATATTTTTGTAGGTAATCGACTTTTCATCACCATTTATCATCCGGTCCCACAAAGAGTTTAGAGCAAGCAATGCTTATGTTCAGAGCAAGCAAAGATGTGCATATGACGACTCGATTATGCAAACTTTCCTCTCTTAACTCATAAGGCACGCATCTGCAAAATTTATAAAGTGATCCTAGTTTACGAATATGGTTCGAAATATTGAGCTAAGTTAAGAATTTCCGCAATCTCCGATGTTGTCAAAAAAGGATCTTGCTCTATCATGGTCTTGACAATAATGCCATTGATTGAAAATGGCTGCCTAGAGCTTGGTTTCTCCTATTTCAAATTTTTCGAACTATGTCCTGTATTTTATTCTAACAAAAACTTTCTTTAAATTTCGACATTCTTCTGTAGCTCTTCATCCTTGTTGGAATTCGCACAAAATACAATATGGTAAATGAATTTTATCGGTAGCTATGTTTATACGATCTCTTCTCATATAATAGTAGGAGACACTCTTATTTCAGTTCATTTAGAAGAGAACATGTGTATAAATACAATGATAAAGTGAGAGAGAGCCATATAAGTCTCAAATGAGCACGTGCCTGAGTGTTGAAATTTGAAATAACATTATCGGACAGAACTTTTCGATAGACCTAAATATGTGCATATAGATACGCAGGCTAGAAATTTTCGGATATCAGTGTAACATTGTGAACTTTCACTTGAATAAATATCCCTTTTAAATATGCTGTGTTATCTGCTATTTACGGACAATAATGAAAACAATGCCTTATTTTCATTTCTCTGCTCTTTTTAATCTAATTTTTTTCCCGCGTTTTAATTAAGGTTAATCCAACAGCGGTTAAAATTAAATAGAGGGCTGAGAAATAACCTATTTTATAATTAACACAAATTACTGTTAACAATTGATTTGTACACTTAAGCAGTTAACTCTGGAGAAGAAATTCACTTGGTTATGTAAATTAAATCAGCGTTAAAAACTATAACATATTTCAAACGAAAACAACAGCAACAAAACAAACATTTGTTATGTTTATATTGATAGTAATCATGGAAAACAAAAGGGCTGTACACTTAATTTATTTTTACAGTTTTCCAGTTTACTAGTATGTCCCCGATTCTCTAACGAATCGATTAATTCTTTCAATTAAAGTGATAAAGACCTGTATCCTTAAAATGGATCCTTTGGGCAAGATATAATTTTTATCATTATTAAAATGATAAAACCTGTATCCTGACTGAAGCTCAACCCTTGTTTTCAGCCCTCAGTCATCTGCCTCGAATAATTTTTTGTTGTGTTAATAATGTTGTTAAATTGATAGCGTACGAAGAGAATTAAAAGTTTTATAATTGATAAATTATCCCCTTAGATCATTTATAATTACTCTAATATTCGAAAACATTACTTGTAAACGTAAACATTCATCAGCTGAGTGCGTAAATTACATTATATTGATTATTTAAGATAAATATAAATCCCTTCAATATATTAAGTAAATTTAATACTTAAAACTACTTAATTTATATTTTCATTCTAGATGGATTTTATTTTGTATTCAGTATATTCAGATGAAAGAAATTAATAGAAAATTATACACAATCTTGTGGGATCCAAATCCTTGAAAGAGTATAATTAGTCCATCCTCTTTCAAGAAGAGTTTTAATAAACTGGGGGAAACTCAGAATAATTATACCTGAAAGCGGTCATTTTATGACGTTTCATCGACATCAACAAATTGTCAAGATGCGACTGATAAATATTTTGCGTTTCCTTTGCGGGACAAAAATGTCATAGAAGTACCAAGACATCTTTGCAATGTTTCGGACCATTTTGCAACGTCTTTACTGCGTTTTGTATTACTTGTGGTTAAATGGGAATTCCCTGTATTGATTTTAAAATCGAGGATATAAATACTTTAAAATGCAGTGGAAGAGCGCTCTAGGAACTTCAAGGGTTTGGATCACTATACCAGATCCGATAAGAAAATGAATTATCTCACACTGAAAAATGAAAGATAAAAAACTACTGAAAATTTATTCAGGGAGCGAAACAAATGAATAATAAATCTAATTTTAAAAAATCATATTATGATTTAATTAGAACTATCATTACGCGCAGTCATTAAATTGTTAGTTGTTCTTTTCCAGTTTCACCTTAAGTTAATGATTTTACATATGCCGTATGATTCATTAATTTCTCTTTCCCGGAATAGCGAAAATTTAAAAATTTCTATCATAGCATCAGTTGAGACTGACAGCCCAGTCAAAGGATTTGAACAGAATCAGAGAACACATCCATGGTCATTTTTTTTTTCACTGTGCGTTATTATTATTAAAGTACAGTGAAACTGTACGTTAATAATTTTTCATGATAAGCCATACCTCATATGATTCACTAATTTCTCTTTCCCTGAACAGCAAAAATTTTTTAATTTCTGTCATAGCATCAGCCTTGACTAGAGCTGTGACTGATAGCTCAATCAAAGAATTTGAACGGATTTCAGGGAACCCATCCATGGTCTTTTTAGCAATGCTCACTAATACCATACTGTATCATTTTGAATTTTTCATCCGGTACTTCCGGATTTGGATAATTGTATTTATGGTAGATAACGGTTTGGCTGCATCATTTTGTTCTTTTCGAATAATATTCACCTTATCTTCGATGCATAAGCTTTACGCTTACAGCTATCCATGCGGTAGATACTTTTTCAAAGAAAAGGAGAAAGTTTGGTCGAAGAATATTGTGAGACTATTGCTCTTTTGGAAGATATGAGAAAGAAAGATAACTTCACCACGTACGTGAACCCCAATACGGAGGATAGAATTTCTAAGACATCAATATCTAAGCGAACCAGATCGATAAGAATCAAAACGTTTTATTCCCTAAAAGAAAAATCAACTGAAAAACCGCAAGCGTATAAGATTCAGTACACTTCCTCTTTTCCTAAATAGCAAAAATTTCAAGATTTCTATGACATCATCAGCCTTGAATAGAATTCTGCCTGACAGCCCAGACAAAATAATTGAATGGAATGAGAAAATCCATATATATTCTTTGTTTATATAAAATCTCTTGACACTGGTCGTATGTCTCTTGTACTGTAAACTGGAACGAATTATTGCTTTTGAGATGCCAGACCATGCGTGTGACGCGTCGTAAAAGCGTGAAAACAGTAACTTGAGGGGACCGCAGACACGATTTTCTCACTTCTGTATGATCCGCCACAAATGTATAGAAAACTGGATGAGACCAAAAGGTTCGTACGTCATATCCGGGGTTTCATTACAGGCCAGGTTTGTTGCAGCGGCATTCGACTGTAATTCATATAGTGTTTATAAATTCTATACGTCAGTGCTCTTCAAAGTAGGGTACACATACCCCCAAGGGGTATGCAAAGTGACACTTGAAAGTACACCAAAGTAGATTCTCTTTCACTTAGTAACCAATTTACAGACGTTCTTAATCGTACTAAAGAGTTTTAGTTGGTCAAGAAACAATTTTCTCAAAATATAAAAATAGATCATCTTTCGATTACAGCTCAACATCAGGTAAATGGTATGAGCGAAAGAGCAACGTTACAATATGAATTTAAAGAAAAATCTCTTCAGGTGGATGGGATTGAAAACCAAATATCCAGATTTAGTAAGTACAGCAACGAATGCAATATTACCATTTGATTCTACAAACCTGTATGAATTAGCATTTTCTGCAATTAATGCAACTAAAATCAGATACAGAAATAGAATTAGAACCGTATCTTCGAATTTCATTAATAGAGAGCATCAAACAGCTAATTATGGTATTTCTGCAGAAAAGCATGGATTTTGTTTTGGTAGGAGAAATGTAATTAAGTTCGACATACCTCCTCCTGATGACGTTATGTCGAATTTGACTGAATGCCTCTTCTTTCTTGTTCTTTTATATTCCTTTTTGTTTTTATTTGTGAATGGTTTATTTTAATCTTTAAATCATTTAAAAAATATTCTTATGCTACATTTATAGGATTGTATGAAGTTAATTTATAAGGTATTTCTCTCACTTTCCTAACGGGCCTTCGTGGTGTAGTGGTTCTGCACGCTGGGCCGGTATTCCAGAGGTCCGTGGTTCGATTTCCGGCTAAGGTGTTGCTAATTTTTCAGTTTGCCCGCTTCCAAAAAATATACCTAATGGCTCTACAGTGGCGCCCGAACTAAAAAGGGAGTTAAATGAGGTTTCTCCACACCCAGGATTTGGCGATTGGGTAACTTGAAAAACCCAGTCGCCCTTTAAAAAGGAGAGTATGTAAGGTATTTCTTCCAATTTCCTAGCGTGCCTTCGTGGTGTAGTGGTTTTGCACGCTGGGCCGGTATTGCAGAGGTTCGTGGCTCGATTCCCAGCGAAGGCGTTTGCTTATTTTTCATCTCTCCGGCTTTTTCAATTAACCTAATGTCTCTACAAATTTTAATTTCAATTTTTAGTCTTTGTGAAAAACTGGTTCTAAATTCCTTTCTTTATATATTAACTGATCGGTTTTCAGCAGAATAATGAGCGAAAAATCTTGGGTTATAAATTTTCCTTTGGAAAATTATTTGTATTTCTATATTATATCATAGCATATTGTATAATTTTATATTATATGGGTATTAACTTACAATTATTCTAGACTTTCGGGTACGTGATCAAAAATGTTTGGAGATGGCTGACATTCATAATAAAAATTTAGTTATTAATTTATTACTCAAATAAAATAATCGCGTATTAAAGCAATTGTGATTAAATTTAAAACTGAATTGATAGGCTGTGTTTTAAATGCTATATATTAAATCTTTATTGTGTATTTTTTTTCTTTTTAGGATAATTTTACATAAAAACTGGGTTTTAAAGTGTTTTTTGCTGTTTTGGTAGTTATATTATTTATGAAACTTAGACATTTTTTCCACTTTTTTTTAAGTGATTGACGCTATTGGGAAACCAGAAAGTGGCTTTCTACTAGGTAATACGAGATTTATTGGTGATTATAATGAATGTCTGAATGTTTACGCTCCTCCTCAAGAGAATACAACGGCAGGGAATTTTCATGGGAAATACTGTTTTCTTGAAGTGCCATTTCTTAAGCTGGGAAACTTTGTAAGATACCTCTACTGTTCAAATTCATGTCTTTAAGAACAACGAAAGTATATTTCTGCTATAACCTTTTATACATTTCAGTCATTGACAAGCACGTTTGGTGTGTGCATTCCAGATACATGCAGCTCGACACTGCTGATGAATGATTTCAAGAATGTCTTAGAAATACCAAGTAAGAACTTATTGATGTTTATGATATATTTTATGTGATTTAGAATCAGTTGGAAATTACTTATATCAAGTGCACGTATGTAATATAAGATACATACGTGTTTAGATAATTTAGTTTTATTAACAATCGATTAATTAAATTCTTACTTAAAAATTTAAACATAGGAATTCATTGTTTTCTATAGTATATTTATGTATTTAAAAAAAATGTTTTTTTGTTATTGTTGTACTGACTTATTTGAAAATCGAATTTAGTAAGGAATAGTTATGTTAAAAGTTAATCGAGTTAGCAAAACATAAGTACAGTAGGCGCCGCTTAATAATCGCGGTTAATGTTATTCGGATATTCATATCGAATTTACGATGTCCGCTCCCTTTTTATACGTAAACATGGAAAACATATAGCTTATTGTGATTAACTATTCGAAATATTATAAAATATCAAGAGAGTTGAAGAATTCTATCAAAAAATCATAGAATGAATTTTTTAAACTGAAATAATGCCTTCAAATAAAAGACAAAATGGCTGAATAAGTTCGAAATATAGTACAGAAATTCTCATATGGCAGAGACATGTCACGGAGTAAGGAATTAAGTCTCCAAAAATCTTGATCTTAACTAGAAGTCTTAGAACCTCATCTAAAAAAATATAATAAAGAACTATTTTACACTAATGCTTGGGGGGATACTGTTAGAAAAATTCAAGTTATAGCTTCAGTGACTAAAAGATATCTGCCTGTCGTTCTCTAAAGCAAATTTTCAGAAATATTATGAAAATGAGCAGCTCGTAAATGTTTCTAGTTATATTTCATTTAATTCCATTGATATTTGAAGGATATTTTTCTTGTCGTTTAATGTTATCATTCGGTTAATGTTTATCAAAATAGTCATCGAAAAACGCGTTCACATTAAGGGGCGCATATTTTAAGATATATCATTAAAGTTAATTTTAAAACTTTTTGAAAACTTTCAGTCAAAGAAGCATAAAAATTTGAATTAGTTAAATTGAAGGAGAACTGAAATATTCTTTCTTTTTTGTCATTATCTTGTTTTGCAACGAAACTTTATGCTTTGAATAATATAAGGCCAGTTACATGCGTGCACATAATTTGTACAAAAATTCAGTCTGCATCATTTATATCCTCTATATCTGTGATTCTCCACCTTTTTTTTTTTTTTTTTTTTTTTTTTTTGCCCCAAGCAGGCCTTTCGTCATTGCTCCACCCTTCCTTTTTAAAATTTGAAAAATATCCATACATTTATTTAAATTTAGATTATTTTTTAATGTACTACATAAATTAAACAAGAAGTGTAAAAAATGTGGTTAAATGCCAAAACTTGAATAAAAGTTGTTATTTATATTTACAAACTACAACTACATCCTTGACAGGTAAATAGAAATCTGACTGCTTTCCCCCTGAAACTCTGAAATTCTCCCATAGGGAGTAATTCGCCTCTGGTTGAGAATCCCTGTTCTATATTATGATATTGAAAATAAAAGTATGAGTTTTAATAGTAAAAGATTCTCCAGTTTTTATTGCGAAAGTTGACATAAAAAGAGGTTTCATTCCTCTTTTTATGTCAACTTTCTAGTTGACTAGAAATAATGTATACTAGAAATAATGTATTTGATATTGTTAACAAGTCATTATTGTATCCTTTGTCAGTGAATTCTACAAACAGAAAAAGCGAAAGATTAGATTACTACAATATGGCAAAATTGTCCAGTGTCATCTATCTAAGGAGGAATGCCTTTGTGGAGGACTTTCTAAGGCGAAATGGCTCTTATTCACATTACTCTTGGAAAAGACCACGAAAATCATATATCTGGATTCTATAATCCTCAACAATAACAATAACACAACAATAAATAAAAAAAAGGGAGAGACACACACTGAGAATATTTTGACCAATATACATTGAAAGGAACACTATCAGTATGCAGTGAAAAATAAAACAATGTAAATAAACTATTAAAATAGAGAGAAAAATAGGTTGCCCCATGTTTAATTTTTCATATTTAATTGTTACATAATATTATGAATCTGCCTATTTAAAAGCAAAATAATCTAAATGATTACCACACAGAAATAAAAATAAATTAAAAACGCTTTCAGATTTTATATTGCGCCCAAAGGGGAGTTTTTTCATTTACACATACATGCACGTTCGATGTTTAAAAATAATATACCTTTAGAATTTCGGATACACAGTCTCGTGTGCTAGAGATAAAAATATTTTATTCTGCATAGTATGTTGCCACTGCTCGCTTTGAAAGCGTTGAGTTTCTTAATCAAAGTTTAAACAAAGTTTAAACAATAATAATCAAAGTTTAAACAATATGAAATAGATAATAAAACAAATTCGAAATTCAAGATTTGTCCCTTCAGATACCCATATTCGAGTGGAGAACTACGTTCTTTAAAATTGGATGGGTCTAGGTATCATTGTTTCTTCACACTGCGAGAAACATACATGCATTCACGCAGATTCTTCATTATTTAATTTCTTTAAATATAACACAGGGCGATAATATTTGGTAACAAGAATTTGAAAAGTGATACAGCCGTTTAGTGTTTCAACGCAAAATGCCGTTTTGACAATAATTGCCCTTCCAGGATGACGTCCCTTTGGTCTAAGAAATGTTCCAGTGATCGAACTGAGATAATTTTACTTTATTTCTTTGTTCTTTACACCGTGCTCCGATATTTAATGCCTGAATGAGAGATCCATAAATGTTGATTGGTTCGTGCTGTACCGCAGTAGATATACCTTTACAAAAGAAACAAGTTTTAATTCACCAAGGAAAACAACTACACAACAAAATTCTTCTAAATCTGGAATCTTCATAAATATATTTTTTATAATCCTGGTCTGCGTCCTCATCTAAATGGCGCGTGAAAGTTAGGTCATACAGTTACAGCTGCGTTGCAATATGTGCACTTAATAAACGAAATCCTTTGAAATATTAAATATGTGTACTGCATATTCTCATACACAATTTTGAATTCTTGATTATTAAACAACAGAACGTTTTCATGCAATCTATGGTACTAAAATTTCTGTTCATCTGTCTGTTTGTTAGTGTGCAACATCATCTCCTCCGGAACGGAGGGTAGTTGAGTTTCGAGAGAGGTACTCTTGGATTCGAAAAAATTCGTGGGAAGCCATTTCGACGATTCTCATCTTTGCACGTTTTGAATCAGCTGAGATATTAATTAAAAAGTCTCCTATTGTTTTAATATGGTTGAAATTTAATAATTTTAAAGATATTTTCAATTCTTTGGCATTATTTATGTGAAGTAAGATGCCTAATGTTCCATATAGATGGAATTGTTAGAGTAGAAAGTGTAATAAAATAGTTATAGATACATTTTCTACGCTAAGAAATTTTCATAGCTTAAAAAAAACGCATCTTCTACGCTTTCATTGTTAGCAATTGATAAAATTTCTCTTCTTATTATTTTAATCTTAAGAAAACTTCTTCATGATCAGCTAATGTTTCATCTTGATTGATAAATCTTAAATCTGTTAAAAATTATTGATAATCTAATCTAAAATTTAAAATTTGTTGTTTGCAGTCATAGATAAAAGAATGGAAGATTAAAATTACTTTTAAAATTTATGTCCAACATTTTCTTCATTTTTGAAATTAAAATATTGAAGTTTATTTCTCTGCTTTTAAATGAATTACATGAAGATTTGTCTGTTTTAATATCAAATATTTCTATTTATTTCATTTTTTAATTTTTAGAACTTGTGTCGGCTACGAATAAATTTGACGGTATTTTGAACGGTACAAAATTGACTTGCAACCCAGTTTCAAAGAAGCTGAATCCTTCTGCCATAATTGTCATGTAAGTAAAGATTTATTGTTTTTATAAGCTTTTAGTTCACTCATAGTGTTTCACTGTGAGTGGAAATTTTTTCATCGATTTACTTACTTCCTGATAAGCTATCGAGTTCAAATTTTGTACACACACTCGTTGACAATGCAATGAGGTGAAACGATTTTTTTAGAATTCTATTTAGATTTTTTAATTTGATGATTAAACAATTTTTTTGTACGTATCTCCATTTAGCGGACAAACTAAGCATATCAAAATTTTACTGTTTGCACCATCAAAGAGCACAACGGGGGAAAAAACATTTTCAATAAAACTTGCATGAAAATTGTAATATAATTTCCAAATTTTGGGCGAATTTTTGAAAATCATTAATTTTTCGACTATTTAACATTTATGATTTTAAAATTTCAATACCTAAAACTACATCGCATATAAAAATTTGAAATTTTCACAAACAATAAAAATTATTTTTTCAGATTTATAAAGTATTTTATATTTATTAACTAATTTTTATGATTTAAATCTTTACTATAACTTCTTCTTTCCATACTTCTTCCCATGTTGTTGAGTGTTTGAAAGTTTAGAGCTTCTGGCAGCCATATCTTGCTGTTACTATCGTTAGCTTTGTTTGTGTTGTATAAGATTTTGCTAGCCGACATTTTAAATACGCGCCGTTAAATATCTTGAGGCAGTCTGAGTAGCATGTTTCATGTATAGTCTTCGGCTAAGATACACACATTTCTATTTAACATTATGTGATGCTGTTTTAAACTCCTGTAATACGCAGATGTTCGACTATCGCACTGCGCCTTTCTGTTCATTTAAGATTGAAATAAAAAGGCTATTTTAACCTTCTTTAGACTTAGATATTTGTTTCAGATGAAGAGATAACTCACTATTAGTTTAGTAGCTTATCCAAAATTTTAACACAAGCTTCTAGATACAGCAGAAACCCTACAAATTATTAAAAGTAGCCCCTGTTTATAAAGGGAGATATTTATCTAGCTATTTTGTAAAGTTACGAGATGGGAGTTGAATGGAGCACTCGTCTCAAGCATTTCATAGTTGAAGGTATCATTGTAAACATCGAAGCTGTAATGAAATTTTAAGCGAAAAAATTGTTAATTAATAGGATAACTTTTTAAATATTCATAACATTTAGATGGAATGGAATGCAATGGATATTTTAATATGTGATAGTAGTATCACTATTTAATTTTAATATATAAAATATGTAATGGCAATTCTAAGGGAAAAATTGTTAACTTATAGTTTTTTTTAACTTTCATAACATTTAAATAGTAATGAATATTTTGATTACGAATACAAAAGAGGCAGCTTGTTATAATACGAAGTACCCATCTCGAACTGTCTGTCCAACTGCAGTCTTTTAATACTAAGTATCCGTAATTGAAAGTAGTAGAAGGAAGGCCCAGCTAAGTATGGGCTACATAAATACAGAGTTTGCGATCGAACGAATAACCCGAATGTGCGTCGTAGATGAACGTTGCAAAGAATTGCTGCGTTTTTTGAGAGCTCATGACTAATAGACTAGTTCACGTGACTTTACCATTGAAAATAATTTCTGATTTCCTCGATTTTTATATTAGGGATATTTTAATGGTAAACAGAATGAGGCTATTGTAGTTAGAGCGCCTTTTATCCTCTGAGGAAGTTAGACCTGTCTGGATAGATTGAGAAGTAGGCAAAAGATGAAGCTATATTATGATTTTTTTTTACAGCAATCTGTTCGAAAACCTCACCGAGTTTTGGCAAGAGGGTGATAAGGCAGTAATCATCCTGTTTTGGACTATCTTTGTCGGTCATGAAAATCATACAAATTGTGGCCATTTTTCAAAACTTCGGAAAATATCAGTTGAAAAGGCAAGCATTTAAAATGCTTCATAAGCTTTTATATGAGAGGAGAAGATTTCGAGTCATTTTACTTTTAATGTTATCAATACCAGAATATTTCTTCAGCGTGAGATATTTGATGATATTGGCGATTTCATGTGAAGACATTAGTCCAGTAGTTTTGCATTATGGTGGAATGCTTGACCTAATCTCAAGTTGTTTTGAAACACGTATGTCAAAATGAGGATGGCAAGAATGTGAGTTGCTATGTGTTATTTTTCAGGGTGAATAACATTGGTTTTTAGAGCTGTAGCTCTGTTGGATTACACAAATATATTTGTCACCTGTCTTGAGAGTGGGATATGTGTCTTGCTTGGTCCTAACGTTTATGATAAAACTCTAGAATGAGCCATCAGTGATAATTAGGCAGTCTGTTCATTCCATTTCGATTTCCTGTACTTAGCGATCAGCTTACTGATTTTTCTGTCGACAGAATTGATAAGCACTTTGGCTGAGACTTGCAATGCATTCCCCAGTTAAATAAATACGAGTACTTACCTCCATTTCAGCTTAAAAATATATTACTGGTGTGAATTTAAAAGGAATTTCAATTTTAAAAACTCCTGCGTTTGGTTTTAGGTTTATAATGTAAAATGCTGTAAACAGAAAAGTATCAAAGGATTAAAAATGGTTATCAAAGTATTTAAAATATGCGCCGTTAAATATCTTGAGGCAGTCTGAGTAACATGTTTTATGTATAGTCCGTAATACGCAGATGTTCGACTATCGCAGAAACTGAGCCTTTCTGTTCATTTAAGATTGAAACAAAAAGGCTATGTTAACCTTCTTTAGGCTTAGATATTTGTTTCAGATGAAAAGATAACTCACTGATTAGTTTAGTAGCGCCTCCACAATTTTGACACAAGCTTCTAGATACAGCAGAAACCCTACAAATTATTAAAAGTAGCCCCTGTTTACAAAGGGAGATATTTATCTAGATATTTTGTAAAGTTACGGGATGGGAGTTGAATGCGCTTATGGAGTACTCGTCTCAAGCATTTCATAGTTGAAGGTATCATTGTAAACATCGAAGCTGTAATGGAAATGTGTTTTAGCGCGATTAAAAAAACTGCATATTAGTGTCTGACCATCAATGCATCCCATCAGAATTTTATTATATCAACAGATAATTATATATATTTAAGACAAGTATACCCCTAATGAATGTAAAATAGAGTAATACTAGAATAGTAAAAGAAGTCTTAAAACAGCGTAATCTTTGTAGGTTTAATATTAATTAACTCAATTACATTATGATTTGTTGTTGTTCAACCGAGATAGAAGTTCGTGACTCTGGCTGCCGTACCGAAGGGCCAGGGTTCGAATCCCAAAGGATGAGTAGATGTTTGTAAATGTGTAGTATTCGGTGAGTCGAAGGTCCCCTCGAAAGGTTGGTGTTATAGGAAGAGGGATGGGAGATCTTGAACCCCCCCCTGGGTGTTTTCCTTCAAAATTAGGGGATAGAGCTGAGCAAAATCGTACTACCACCTATATGGTGCTCAAGGCTCTTGCCAACGACAGGCACAATCTTTCCTCCTTGTCACGATGAATTTCGTGGACTTGTCATCATTTCAGACAAGCGAGATTTATCAGTCTTAAAGATTTCCCCCCCCGGGGGTCGACGTAGAGAACTCTGCGAAGCTACTGGCTAGGATGTGTACCTAGGCAGTCTCGGCCACGGGGGTATAAATTTTATGAACTTGGTGGTTCTGAAGGCTCTGGGAAAGGTCACTTATTGGCCGGCCTCGGAGTCTGGCATGTCCTAGCGCGGCGTGGTGCTAGTAACTCGGAGGTTATCCCCTGGGGTCGCTGGGTAATGTCCCGCTGCGACGGGCTCGCCCGAGCGACTGGTAGGAGCATTAGACGACCGGTGCTGCCTGGGGCCCGTCCCCAGGTGGTGCGCGGCTCTTCTGGAGGGTAATAGTGGAGGTTGAACCTCCACGACGTGCCCAAAGGGAGAGTCGACCTGTAGTGAGATTAAGTTTACTCGGAGCAGGGAAGCCCAAACGCCATAGTCTTAAAGATTTAGGCTCTAAGAAGGTTATCACAGGCAAAAGCGAGATTTATCACAGCAACAACATTAATATTTTGCTTTTTCTTTCGTATTTGCTTTCAAGAACTTCTAGGCATTATCGGCTTTATGATATTGGCATTATCGGCTTTATGCATTATTCACGAAGATTCTTAAACTGGTGCCCCACTATTTGCATGAGGCCACCGAAGCTATTTTGTACAGCTCGCGAATATATTTACCCTAAATTAATTAGCATTATTATAACATCAATTATTAAGCAAGAATTTGAAGAAAGATTTTAGATTTTAATGATTTTGAGTCACTTTTTTATTGTTTTCATTACCATTAAAAACGAAGTGAGTTACACACCAAAATATCAACAAATAGAGCTAATTAATTTATATCTCCAGCTTTCCTAGCTTCCTTCGTGGTGTAGTGGTTCTGCACACTGGGCCCTTAATACAGTGGTTTCGATTCCTAGCGAAGGCGTTTGCTCATATTTCATCTCTCTGGTCTCAAAATTACCTAATGTTTTTACAGTGGCGCCCGAACTAAAAGGGTGTTGGATGATGATACTCCTCACCCAGGATTTGGCGATTGGGTCCTCTAAAAACCCGAGTCACCTTTTAAAAGGGGGAGTATATAAGGTATTTCTCCCACCTTCTTGGCGAGCCTTCGTTGTGTAGTGGTCTGCACGCTGGGCCAGTATTAGAGAGGTCCGTGGTTCGATTCCCTGCGAAGGCGATTCCTCATTTTTCATCTTGCCTGCTTCCAAAAAATCCTAATGTCTCTATAAATTTATACGATGATATATAAAATTCATTAAAATATTTGAATATACAGATTTAATTAGCCTCTTTTCAAAGGAGGAATACTTTCAGGTTCGAATTCTTACAGTAAGGAAAATCGCTTTGTTTGGGAATACATTTATATGTGGAGAGTTGTTTGTGCATTAAAAATTAGAAAATCTAAAAAAAGAACCAGCTGACCAGTCAATGACTGACCACTGAGCACCTACAATTCGTCATAGAGTTTCTAGTAATTTTTCTCCAAGTTTTCAAACTTAATTAAACTGGAAATA